TATATATATATTGAGAGTACAGGGTAGCATATCCAAAGAGCTAAATAAGTTTATGATGGTATTGCTATAATATTGAAGTTTTAGATGTTAGATAGTTATACATGTATCAAAGGATAATTACTGATATATGTTTATGTTTATCCCCACTATATTTTATACAATGGCGAGGGCCTCTTCCCCTTCGCTTTCCGCATACAAGTTTACAAAACCTCTGCAAACCCTAACCCCTTCGCAGAAATCGAAACCGGATCAAATCTCGACTCGACGACGCCGGCGACGATAATTCTCCGCCGCCGGACGCTATCCTGGCAAATAACTTCTCATGGAGACCGGAAAATCCTCAGATCTGCAGGAATACGTGATCCGCACGGTTGTGCGCTCTGGTCTCAAGCGGGAGTTCGTCTTCGCCCTCAAATCGCAAGCCGAATTCTCTAACACTCATGGTCGGACACGTTCATCCAAGGCTCACGTGGCAACACCGGCCGCACTGCCATATTGCGGACGTAAATCACCCAAACTGTCCGATGACCGGGAGAAGCAGCTGGTAGTTTTGCATGCTCCAGCTATTGGATCGGTTATTCTTGCCCTACCGGCGCCTATGAATATTGACTGTTCTTTATCGGGAGGAGTTGCGGTTGATATCTCAGCTGCTGATGCACGAAAAAAAGGATATCCCGAGAGTGCCTTGGATGTTTCAATTTCGGTTCACAGCATAGAAGAATCGGAGAAGGATGGAATCAGGTCGAAGGCTCCAATTCTTACCGATGGCATCGGGGAATTGAAGAAGGATAAATTGGCAATGGAGAAGTCAGGTACAGATCATAGAAAGAATTTGCAAGAAGCTAGACTCGAAAACTCGGCAGCATCAGCTCTATCGCAACCACTTCCGCTAGAATCAATAGCAGTTGCCCCGGGCGTGAGCAAGAGTCCACCGGAGAATGGATCAATATTTGACCAATCAGAGGTTTTAGATTGCCTCAGTGGATCCAAGGTTAGCAGCAGATTAGCAGAGAAGCCAATCAGAAGGTTCACTCGGTCAACCGCGAAGCTTATCCCTGCTGCTACTGCTCCACCTAAAACTAAGCAGGAAGAGATGTCATGCGAAGTAAAATTAATAAGGAGATTCACTAGGTCAACGTCAAAGCGAAATTTGCCTGCTGCTGTAAGTTTTTTTTCAATTGAGCAAGAGAACCAAGGGAAAGTAACGCCCGTAGCTGAAATTCCTGTGACAGTTCAGCAGGAGAGGTTGGCGGAAATCCCGGTAACCAA